CGCCATGCCTGCTCCTGGTGAAGGGCATGCCCAGGCCTCGCCAGAGACACGGCCAAGAGACCTGGGAGACAGGACTGCTGGGGTGGACCAGGCATTTGCAGTATCCACTTGGCTGCTTTGTTTCTGAGAGGGCTGTATTCAATGTCAGCAGGGTGGCAGAAGGTCCTGGAAGTTTCTAGAAGGCTTTGGAAGGCTCCAGAAGGCCAGCAGGGCCACTCTGGGACAGGGTGTCACTGTGTCTTGCCTATGAGAGCCCCCCTAGTCTCTCTGTCCCCTAACTGCAGTTGCCCAGACCCTGGGTCCTGCCCGTAGGGCCAACACTGCCACCATGGAGGTATTTAAAAAATGTGTAGATGTTGGTGCTGGGGACATGTTTTAGTGGTGGGCCTGGCAGTGCTAAGTTAACAGTTTGACTCGATGATCTTAAAGGTCTTTTCCAACTTAAATAATTCCATGATTCTCTGTCAGGAGGGACAATTACTTCTACAGCAGAACTGCAAGTGTCTCATGTCTTTCTTTGACTCACTCGTTTCACAGAATCACAGGATGTTGGGAGTTGGAAGGGACCTCTGAAGATCATCTAGTCCAACCCCTCTGCCTAGAGCAGAATTGCCTACAGTAGGTCACACAGGAACACATCCAGACAGATAATGAATGTCTCCAGAGCAGAGACTCCACAACGTCTCTGGACAACCTGTTCCAGTGCTCTGTTAACCTCACAGTAAAGAAGTATTTCTTCAGGTGTAGGTTGAACTTACTGTATTCTATTTTGTCACCATTGCCCCTTGTCCTCTCACTGGACACCACTGAGAAGAGTCTAGCCCCATCCTCCTGACACCCAGCCCTTAGATATTTATAAGCAGTGACAAGATCCCCTCTCAGCCTCCTCCAGGCTAAACAGACCCAGCTCTCTCAGCCTTTCCTCACACAGTAGATGCTCCAGTCCTCCATTTATCTTAGTGGCTCTGCACTGGACTCTCTCCAGTAGTTCCTTGTCCTTCTTGAAATGGAAAGCCCAAAACTGGGTGAAGAATGGCCAGAGAGAGGCTATCTGTACCCTGTCTGGCATGTTGGCCTCCCTTCCTTCTGCCCTGAGCTCAGCTGAGAGGCTGACATGGCCGCAGCCTCCCCATAGCAGGGAGGTCGGAGCTGGGGCACAGCGAGAGATTCGTCATGGACTGGGCAAGTTCTGGCCAGGGTTCTATCCATCACATGCCCCTGAGCTAGGTAGTACAACCTCCCTCTTGGCCACTTGCAGACAAGACTTTGCTGATGCTGGACTCTTTTTGTTCTTAGATCAAATGCCCATGTGGACCTGACCATGGATGGCAGCAGTTCCACTATCTGGAAGTGGTGCTCCATGAGCCATGCGTTGGTTCACTGCTACTCCCCAGGACTATGTCACTCCAGACAGGAGCTGCTAATTTATAGGGTGCTTCTGCTGATTTTTAAGGTGCTCCTGGCCCTGGCCAAGTTCAGCACAGCCACAGCAAGAGGAATGCAAAGCCCACTTTATCAGTATCTCTCCTGAAAGCTCCTTTTGTCTGCAATGCTTTTAGCAGGGCAGACAATTACATTTGCCATCTTAATTTTTTCATTCTTTTTATGTCTTTTAAGAAGTAACTGAATCACCAAGATAATACACAGGCTTTCACAAAGGGGATCTATGATCCCATCACTCGCTCTATTCTCCTCCCACTCTTACCCATTTGGCCTTTATTTAACAGCCCAGAATATGAAACGAAGAGCATGAGCCAGTTTGGGCAAGTGCTGTGGGTTTTCTGTGTGGTGTCCGAGGGCCAGTGAATCGCAGGGATACAGACTGCAAAGGCAGAGCAAGTCAGCTTGATTACCTAGCCTGAGCTCCTGAATAACACTCACAATGAAGGACACCTCTGAATTCATTCCTGAATGAACCAGAGCACATCTTTGGCAAGGGGGCTGAGGAGGGGGGGAATCTAATTCTGATTTAAGGTTGTTGATGATAGTCCCCACAGTCCTTGGTAATTAGTTCCACTGGTTAATTACCCTCACTGTTAAACATCTGCACCTTATTTGTAGTCAAAATTTGTCTGGCTTCCAACTTCCAGTTGGATCATATTATAGTTGCATCAGCTAGATTGAAAAGCCTTCTATTATCACGTTTCTGTTCCCCATGTCAGTACTTAGAGACTGTGATAAAGCCATCCTCTCAACTTTACTTTCGTTAAGCTAAACAGATGGAGTATCTTCTCCAGTCTGTCACCTCAAGATGCTTTTCCCACTACTTAGTCATTTTGTTCTGCGGCCTTTCTTGGATTTGTCCTCACCTCATCCACAACCTTCTTGAACTGTTAGACACGCTTATCTCTTTCAGGGTCAATCTTCTCCAGATCTGGAGTTCCCTGCAGTCCTAGGACTGTGGTCTGTATTCTGTTTCTGGATGTAAATCCTAGTGTTTGACTACATAGAAAGATACATTTGGGGGATTGTATCCATCTCATTAAGTGATCCAGACCATACTGCCTTCACTCTTCAGCCAGTATTCCCGCTATTAAGGAGTTTTCCTCATTCACAGTGGGGCTGGAAATGCCACTTTCTGTTCCCTCTGCTGAACTTTCCCATTGCAGCACTTTAGAAGGACTGAGGTAGGCAGTAGGAACTGGTATGAGGCTGGGACAGTCTAGCTGAGTGCTTCTGCCTCTTGCTGAAAACAGCCCTGATCTTTGTTGTTGCAATCCATAACACTGGCTGTTTAATTTTAATGATAAACGAAGTTATCCTTAGGGGTGCAGTAGGTTTTGTCTTCAGCATAGAGTATGGCAGAGATACCCTGCCTAGCTTTAAACAAACTGGGTATCATCACTGCATCACAAAGCCAAGCCAGGGAATCAGCCCATACGGAGGTGGATGCTGTTTCTTCTTAAACAGTTCTCACTGAGGAATCAACATCCCCCATGGAACCCCTGCTTATGGCACACAAACTCTTTCAAGAAGGGCCACCAAAAAAAAATCTAGACCGTTGTTTACTCCCCAAGGAGCCACAGAGAAGCTTTTCTCGTGCCCACATGCAGCACAGAGCTGAGATTGTGGCTCCACAGGACAGGTCACTTTTGTTTGTGTAACCACACGTGAGTCACAGAGACACGCACAGCTCCAAAGCACAGAAAAATGGGGTAGTACAGGTGGTCCCTGGGTATCTGTGCCCATTTCCTGGCTCAGAGACTGTGGATGCAGTGTGACTTCCCCGTGATCCCCAGAGGATTTCCACTGAATCTCAGCAGTGAAATCCCATACAGTGAGGTCGAGCTTTCCAGGTCTCCATTTCTCAAGCATCTGGTAGGCAGCCACTGAGAGGCTGAAAGTACTAGGTCTTCTTCTTTCCCTTTCAATACTAAATTGCCTCAAAACTAGACTTTTGCTTGTCTGCTGCAGTGACTTCTGTAGGTGTCACACGTGTCAGACGTTTCAGGATGGCAGAACAGAATTGTTGGTCAGAAGTATTTTCTGTGGCAATTGGTTCCACTGGACTTGCCCACCATGTGCAAAAGCCTGAGGGCACCAGTTACAGGAGGACATCCAGACACTGCACACTGACGCTTCCTGATTTTCTTGTTCCTGGGTTGAGAAAACAGCCATGTTGTAACTGGGGGTGACCTGTGTTTTGGGTATTGCACATGGAGCTTAAATTGTGCTGAGCAAAGCCCTGGGACTCTTTAAATGAATGGGAATTTTGCCAGTGACTTCAATAGATCTATGATTTCACCACGACATCTGTCACGCATTAGCTACATCAGAATCGATGTAAAAGGCTGAAAACCAAGACCTGACCCATGCCAGTTTAGAGTCAGTAGAGAAGTACCGATATCAGTATTTAGGGGACAGCCAGGCCCAGATCCAATATTTTCATTTTTGGTGTAACTGCAACTGGGCTGGGGGGTTGCGAAGTTTTTTTATTGTAGTAAAAATGATCACCCCCTCATCAAAATGGTTATATGGGTGCAAAGCCATTTGGGAGGGAGTCCTGGTTTTCATGTCACTGTGATTGGGATTTACTGCCTAAATTCACAAGTGCACCCTAACATTCATTTCGCTAAGGATTACACAAAGCACTCTGAACAAAATAAAAGTACCATATTGCCTCACTAACACAAGGACTGAAACATTATACCATGAAATATTATTTTCATACCATAAAATAATGTTTAAAAAAGCAATGTAAATAATTGATCACAGAGATCTAAGAAAAATTAAACACACACAAACATCTAGACTATTCTCTGCACAGCTCTAATAAATACCCCAAATATCTGGACTTAACAGCAGAAGCCTGGTAAACATTTTAGTTTTGAAATAGAAAAAAACGTCCTGGCTTGAAAATAGCTTCTCCTTTCCGTGATTTTTTTTTCTCACAGTCCAAATAACAGAGTGAAAAAGAACCCAGTCCAATTCCCATAGGTCTCATTAATGAACCTGCAAAGGGAATGTGTTGGAATAGCTGAGGGCTCTCCATTTAAAACATGTAACAAACCCAAAAATTACTTATCTTCACTGTTTCGAGGATATACAAAGTTTGTGTTCAGAACTGTGCAGCTGGAGATTTCTGGCACTGACGATATGCTAGATCTTCTGGGCTTCCCGCTGCACCCCTTGCCAAGCTCTTCATGCAACGCCAGATCCAGGTCCTGCCTGCCCGCAGAGGGAGGGAGACTCCTCCACGATTAGCCCCGTCCCTTCCAGCCACACGGCTCATAGCCGCTCCGTGTTTGGAGCCTGGTGCCAGGTGCCCAAGGGGCTGAACTTCCCAGCTATTCTGTGCTCCTCAGTTGTGCCTCCTCCACCGTGGGCTTGCTCTGTGGAAGCAAATCAATGAGGTTTTTTTTTCGTACCCCTGTTTCATTTAGACACGACGCCAAGAACTTGAGTGGTGCGACACCCTGGTTGCTCTGCCCCAACGACTTGGCAGGAGGTGCTGGGCGCATGAATTCAAGATCCAGGTATGTGAGCCTCACCTTTCCTTGCAGGGCTGTGAAAAGGTGCAGCCCAGCTCTCCGAGATACTGCATTCTTCCGTCTATATCAATCTGGCTCTTGCGTCCTACACAACATCAACATGGCTGATCCAATACGAGTTATCTGGGTTGGGGATCCTGGCTGAGCACAGTGCAAATAAAGGACCAGATGCAAACCTTTACTTTGGGTTCCTGCCATCTCAAATATACATGAATGGAACTAATTTGGTTCCAAAGAAAATAAAAATTGTCTTGTTTTTTTTCCTCCCATGTTCTTCACATAGTCTTTTTTTTTTTCCTCTGACATTGAGTTTACTCAGGCTTTTATCTAGGTCTTATTTAGGAAGGCTGAGTTTCTAGGTCCCTCCTGCTTCATCAAATCCAGTCTCTGCTCTTGTAGGCAATCATGTCTTATAATGCCATTCACAAATTAACCAAGTGCTATCTAAAAACTAGTTATATATTTATATTTTTTTGTTCCTGCTGCTTATACTAAAAAGGTGCTCCAGAACCTCCTGTTTCAGTCACGCTTTTTTGCTCAGCATGATGGCAACTCCAAATAAGGGAAGGCAGTCCAAAAGGAATAAATAATATTGTGTGGGGAAGAAAAGCAACTAACCTACACATTATCATTAAACAAGAGGACGTGACAGGCAGTGTAATGTTTCTGGTTTTGTTGTGAGTCAGAAGGATGAAGGTCATGTGATAACAGCTCTCTCTGCAGCACAATAAACCTTATTAACATTATAAGATAAAAATAAATATTCAACAATTAAGGGGGAAAAGGGTCACACGTTTGCATCTGCCGGGGATTATTGACAGCAATCTGACATTACCGTCAGCTAAACCCACTGCTCTATTTTGTCCAGAGTTTCTAAAGCCATTATATAATGATCAGTCTAATAAAGTCTAGATTAGAGGCATTTCTCTTGTGTACAAAGAGATTGGCTTTTGGGTTGCCTCGTGGAAAAGCAACATTTTTCTTAGGGAGAGAAAGGGTTAGTTGTCTCTAACAGCAATCCTGTTGAAAAATGTAAACCGTCTGAGGCCATTTCAGACCTCCAGCAATATTTTATGCTAACAGGTTTATGTCTGAATTAACAAAGTTCTCTAACCACTTAGTCTGTTAAAATGTAGTTATTTTTTTCCCCTTGCTAAGAAAGCATGTGCCAACCTAAATTTGAATTTTATTTATTACCATTTGCAATCACCTGGTGTCAGAGGCCACGTGAATCCTGTGAGTTTATCTGATCTGAGTCTGGAGCATCCAAATGTACCTTTCAACTTGTTTCTTCATGCTGTGCATGTCTAGAGTGTTTTGCAGTAATACCATAAGCCCCTACAAGTGCACAGAGTGATAGGAAAGAGCAGAGTAAGATACCGTCCCCTGGGTACCACATAGCTTCGAGGAAGGTGCTGAATTTGAATTATCCCATATCCACCGACCCAGCATCAGAATGCAAGCCTCCTCGTCTGCTTTTTTTTCTGCTTAAAAAAGTGTCATGGGTTAGGGCAGGGCCACTAAGACACGGACAGACGCACTCTAACCTCCTCTTCCCCCCCCAAAATGGGAAGGAAAAGTGAATGAGGCAGAGAGACTTATGGGTTAGAAAAGAAGACTAAATCAGCTTTAATGTAACAACAATAGAAATAATAGTGAAATTATAAAAATAAAGAACTATATACAACTAAACATGTATAAGCCCTATATCAAACCTGACTCTCCCCCATAACAATCCCCACTGATGCTGCAGAGCAGGAGGCTCTGGGGAAGCCCCAGTCTCAGCAGCGTCAGGGAGCTGGATACAAGGAGCTGGATTCAGGAACTCAGGATCCGGATCAAAAGCAGGAGATTGGATGGAGTCTGCCCTGGACACCGACCATTGCAGAAAAGGGAAAGAAACCCTAGTGATCACTCAATTTATACTAAATATGATGTATATGGGATGAAATACTCTCGTTGGTCACCTGTCCTGTCTATAACCCCCCAGAGGTGCAACATTTCACTTCCTTGTGACCCCTCTTACTACCCGGCACCCCCAGCGTGGCACACAAGATCCAGCAGTGGCTTTGGTCACTACAGGAATAAGTTTCAGCAAAAGCCTTTCTGCATCCCAGTCCCAGGCAGTAACTGTAAACATCAGGTGTTATCACTGCCAGTAGCACAGGCTGTCTGCAGAAACATGCTGCGAACTTCAGAAAGTGCAGCCTTTTAGAAGAGACTGAGCTGGAAAGTAAAAATCACTGAATAAAATTGGTTTCGTTTAGCTCAAACCAGGACAAAAAGATGGGGGGAGAGTGTAGGGGGAGGAAATGTCACTTAACTCAAAGGCACCATTAAGCCAGGTAGCACTGAGGTACAACTCCTCCCATCCACCATTCCACAGAATGCGTGAAGATTGGTAACATAGCATTGGCATCTACCAGCTACCCCCAGCCACACACCTTCTGCTGCTCCAGGGCCTGGGACCACAGCGTGAGGGGTGAAGGACCTCGAGCCAGCTTCAGCCTTGCTGGCTGAGGACTGCGGTGGGTGCGTGACCTGGTACCTGGGCTACAAGTGCTGCTGTAGTGTCCCTCAAAGACCGGAGTTTTCTAGCAGATGCTGGGCACTGCACTGACACAGCTGCATCCCTTCCTCAAACTGAACTGCCCAGGCTTTGCATTTCTCTGTTGTTCATTCCCAGCTAACTAAATTCTGAAAATTTTAGTCAGCTGGAATATCCAGCCTGTTTCTGCTATTTAAAAAAAAAAAACAAAACACAAGACTGCTTTGAAACCTGGGGAACTATCTATATTGGCCTGCAAAATCATGTTAATACTTTTCAAAAATTTTGCCTAGAAATGCTTTTCTTGCCTGAGAGGCAGTAGCAGTTTTGCTTGGCTACCAACTATTGGACTCAACTATTCTTTAAAACTGGTTTGCATGAGGCAGGTTTACAAACCATCTTAAGCAGAAGCTAAACCCCATTTGCATTACCAGCTTTGTCAAAGATATTTTATTTAACTCCAGAACATCAAGTGGATTATAAGACATTTTTCTCCTTGCTAGATCAAGCAAAACCTGAGATTTGCCCTGTGGTGTTCAGGTGAAAAGCCAGTACTGGAAAACCTCAATCCTGAAAGCAACTTGCTCAGCTACACTGGAGGCCTGAGCACAAGAAGAGGCCATTCCTTTCAGTGGGTGCAGAATGCTAGTTTGGCTGGCAAAGGCTTCCAGATAAAAACCTAGCTCACTGGTTGCAGGCAGCTGGTGAAACACAGTCCCAGTTACATTTTCTCCAAAGGCTCTCTCTACACTTCGGGACTCTTTAGGATGTTCCTGACCACGGCTAGCAGAGTCACAGCCCCAAGATTGCTGCAACGCGCTCAGCTGCTCTCTAGGTGGGAATAGGCTGCACCCAGGACCGCCTATCATCCAAGGTCAATGAGGTTGGGTGATTTTGGTCAGCCACAGCTGTGAGCACCTGACATTGTTTTAAGATTTTGCCAGCTAGATGAGGAGACAGACAGGGCACGGCATCCCAGCTTTTAGGATAGCTTCTGTACCTGCTGCTTCTCTACCTTAGGATTCCTTCTTTTGCTAAGATGAACACTATTTGTTAGGCAGGGAATAAAATAAAAGCAAATTTTGTAAAGTTCTGCAGAGTAGTCATTGTCCAAGTAAGCTGTGGCCTACCTGTATTAACAATGAAGTGACAAACTGGCTGCCCTCATGTGATCCATTTTTGCATATCTGCCCACAAATGCCTCGCTGTCGTGGCTTATAAGAGCTGTGACACTAGTTTCTAGGAGTAACTCTCCAGAGTGGGGGCACAAGAATAATGTCCAGGTAGGGACATAAATCATGCCTGAATTTAAATGCATAATGTATGTCTGTAGGTTTCTGCATCATAATGAAGTTGAGAGACAGGCATATGGCATATGGGAGCATATGAACTTCGGTTTGGGTCAACAGCAAATGCTGGATGTGTGTTTTAAACCCTAGTACAATGTGATGTGGCATGAAATACCTAATTACGTACCCTGTTTAATTTTACTTTCTGTTTGCTCTACAAATGTACACAGGTAGCGTAAGGTCCAGAGTTTGCCACCACGCAAATTTCATGGGGACGCTGAGGAATACTGTGGTCAAGGGGCTGGAGTCACCAGGCTGAGCAGTTCTCTCCAAGTGGCAGCATGGAGAGCTAAAAGACCGAGCCCGGATCCAACTGTGCTGCTGTCATGTGCTGTACAGGTGACTTTTTGGTTGCTTTCGATTCCATCCCTTATGGAAGGAGATAACATTTGTGTTATTTTCTTTGGAGGAATTTTTCCTTGGTATTTCCAAAGAAGTAAGTCCTCCTTCGTGTCCCAGTTAGCTTTTAGCACATTTAAGGTACCGGTGTAGCACTTTTCTGTAGTGTTTTTTAATCCAGGAGCAGATATAGGTTGTGTTTGTGTCTGGAGAGTGGACGTGCCGAGGGATTCTTCCACACTACCCTGACAGGTTTCCTTCTCCTTTGCTTGACACAGCCACCAGCAATTAGTACTGGAATCCCAAGAGGCTTCAAAGTGGAGAGGGAAGGGGTGTACTTACGGGGCAAAAGTTGGCTTTTTTTCCTTTATGCAAAATTTATTCGGGACTTAAGCATTCAAGCGTGCCTTTTCTTCCTTTGCTCTGTGCCAGAGAGGTCTCCTAGTCAGTGCTAGTCAGTGAAAAAGACATCTTCCTCTCCCACCTTTCTGATACTTGTTCTCAACCTGAGCTGCACTGCTTTTGAAGGACACTTTCTTTTAATTTTAGATCAGCAATGTTTTGCTGTTAGCCTGTTACCTTGAAACCACTCTTACCTCAGGTGAAAGTAAAATGCAAATGCAAGTATTTATTTACATCTCCCAAAACAGACCACACAGTTTGAAAAGATGCACACATAGAAATGCTGAAATCTTTCCGTAGCCATTCTGGTAGGTCCAGAGAGATTAAAATCTTCCCATCAAAACATATTCACTTCTTTTCCTCCAGAAGCTTAATTACATTTAAATGTTTCAAAAAGCAGCCTTGCTGCTCTTCCACTGAAAACAAGCACTCTCACTCAGAGATGTAAATGTCAACGCACTAGACCAAAGGTTCACATCCTGTTCTCGACTTGACTAAATCAGCAGCTCCTTCACTCAGTGAGAGTTAAATCCTTCCCCCCCCCCAAAAAAAAAAAGATGTGTGACTCATCTTCCCTTCAAGTGTATCTGTCCAATAAATGGTGTTTTTTAATTCACTCCAAACCTTAGCCAACATACATACTACAAGCATCTGCTAGGGACAAACAGGGGTAGTTCATTAATCAGTCTTGATTGAGACCAGACACTGCAGTCATTGACTAACACACAGTGCCAAAGGGATGCAGGGCTTCCACCCTGACGTATTCTCTTTTCAGGAGTACAGGAACAGTCTTATTTCCTACTTGCTCCAGGCTCAGACCCCTGTTTTTCTGCCCACCTCCCACTCCCTGACAGCAAGAAAAGAGTGAGCAAGGTATTAGTGCATGGGAAAGCTGCACTGAGAGGCTATTGCCCATTTGCAGGGTAGGTGCTTGACTACCAAGAAGGCACCCAAGGCATATGGGAAGGGAAAAAGACGATAGTAATAAGTACTGAAGGAGATGGGGCTCATTCCTGAAGCTGCCTTCTAGCTAAGACTACATCTCCCTGGTTTGTAGGGATCTGTGAGCTCTGAACACCATTGCAACTCAGTTTCCAAACTCTGTTTTGGAAAGTTATTTATAGGAGGTTTTGTTCTTCTTTAGAGAAGCAGATACTCCCAAGCCCTCTGTTAGAGGGCTGATTAGCAGATTTTCATGCAAAAAAGGGAAGATACGTGATATTAAACAGAATGCTGTCAAATCTGATGTTTAAGAGGGAACCTGGAAGAAGAAGGCTTGGACCAAGTTACTTGGTCACCTCGACAAGGTGAATAAGTCACCTTGACACATTTGTAACTGGCTGACCTTTGCTCTTTAGAGTCTCATGCTACCCCTTGTCTCTAGACCTGTGTTGGGCATGAAAGTACTCCAGCTGCTAATCCTCTCCCTAACATGCTGAAGGCCTTTCCACTCATCACAAACTTCCTCCCAGTGAAGACATATATCCTAATCATAGAATCATAGAATCATAGAATGGCCTAGGCTGGAAGGGACCTTGGAGATCATCTAGTCCAACCTCCCTGTTTTGGGCAGGGACGCCACCTCTCGACTAGACCTGGCAACACATGGGGACCGAGCGGGAATCTAACCCTCCACCAACCCCTGCTTTTCTTCTGCCTACAGCTACCAGTTACAAGCCTAATAGGGATGCCTTGTCAGACCCTCTCATGATTTATTCTGTCTTTCAAGAGCGCAGCCTTCTTTAAAGCCCCTCATAAGTCGGATGGAAGATTTGGCAGCTATCTGTGTTCCTGGCACAGGTGAAGGTGCTTACCAGGGCAAGGCCGTCTAGCCAACGTGCATAAAATTGCAAGAGACTCTCCAAAACCTCTCATCAGAGACAAATTGATTTGCTGTATTCTTCTCCAAGGTCATTTTTTAAATTGCCTGCTGGAGGTAGACCTCGCTAGCAAGTTACTCTTATCTCCTACCAGAACCAAAGCTCCATGTTTTCCTTTATCAGTCCGTCACTGATTGCTCTCCCTGCAGAAATTACATCTCTTTATATGAGGCTACTATGCTCAGCTTTTTAAGCCCAAGTCAACCAAGCTTGTGAAAGCGGGAGGGCTGTGTGCAGATGCAAGAGTTCCTCTGTGTGTAACACAGCCCAGACTCAACATTCTCATCTCTTCAACATGAGCTGGCAGTGTGCACTTGGCAGGCCAAAAAGTGAACCATGTCCTGGGCTGCATCAAAAGGAGTGTGACCAGCAGGATGAGGGAGGTCATTCTCCCCCTCTGCTCTGCTCTGGTGAGGCCCCACCTGGAGTACTGCATCCAGCTCTGGAGGCCACAGTACAAGAAGGACATGGATCTGCTGGAGTGGGTTCAGAGGAAGATGGTTAGAGAGCTGGAGCACCTCTACTATGAAGAAAGTTTGAGGGAGCTGGGGTTATTCAGCTTAGAGAAGGCTTCAGGGTGACCTAATAGTGGCCTTCCATTACATGAAAGGGGCTTACAAGAAAGCTGGAGAAGGGCTTTCTATAAGGGCCTATAGTGATAAGACAAGGGGCAATGGCCTGAAACTGCAAGAGGGTAGATTTAGATTAGATATAAGGAAGAAATTCTTCACCATGAGAGTGATGAAGCACTGGAAGAGGTTGCCCAAGGAAGTCGTAGATGCCCCATCCCTCCAAGTGTTCAAGGCCAGGTTGGATGGGTCTTTGAACAACCTGGTCTAGTGGGAGAGAGGTGTCCCGGCACGCAGCACTCTATGTTCTGTGATTCTGTGATTCCGTACTCAGATGAATAAAATAAGGACCAGCTATGAGCCACCTGTTACAATTCCATAGTGAGGGGAAGATCTGAGTTACTTTCTTGTCTTGAATGAAATTTACATCTCCTCTGGCATTTATCTATATAAAAACTATTTTGAAAGACAGCTTCTTGATCTGGAATGATGAGGTGGCATCACACAGCACATTCACCTACTGCTGAATGATTTCTCAGTAGAAGATACATCTTCATCAGGACCATCAACCCCATGGCACAGCACAATTAAATCAGCCTGTTCACTCTTATGCTGGTTATCCAACTGTGTTCCCTCAGTAATAGTTCTACCTAGTTTGTACCAGGAGGAGGAAGACACACAAACATCTTCAGAAAAGAAAGAAAAAACATTTGTAGCAAAATGGTTTTGATCCCACAGGGGCAGCTTTAAGGGAGCCCTCCTTATGTGTCTGTGGTGCTCCTCATGCCACAGCTTCCTTCTTCACCTAGGTCCATGAGGGAATGATGTTGTTAAAAGATAAATACTATGTTTCCTGGTGCTACCTCTGGCTACCTGGCCTCTCCGGCCTCTGTATAATGGAAGGACAGTTAGTTGACCACTAAGTAAGAGAGTGAGAGCTAGTTTAACAAGCCATGGCAAATTTTTCCATTTCGTGGTGTAGTGGAGCATGTTGGAGTTTGATCCAGTCTGTGCACTGAATTCCATATCCATGACCTCCTTGCTTTTCCTTTACACTTCTGTCACAGTTAGCCAGATATTGACAGATAGGCCAGAAGTGAGCAATTCCTCTGTGCATGTGCTTCAGGAAGAGTCTAGTGCCTGCTCTAGTCAGTAAAAGCTTTTAGGAAACAAACATCTGAGAAAAGAGAAAAAAAAAAAAAAAGCCGAATCTTAAGTATGATAAGAAAGCTGAGACAAAATTCCCCATAACAGGCCATCTACTGCTCACACCCACTGTTCCTTAGACAGGAAACCTCTTAAAAGACCTCTGCTGATTCTGGTTCTTTGAGGCTCCATAGTTGTACATATATGCGTGTGAAGCAGAGAGAGAGGAGAGGCATGTCAAAGTGCTGCTTTTTCTCTACTGATGGTTGCAGACAGACCCGACACTTAGAGCATGAGATAGCATCATGCCCGATTTACATCAAAGCTGCTGCTACCTCTTCTTCGAAAAGAAAAAAAAAAAAAGAAAGAAAGAAAGAACTAGAATACATTTCAGTTACTTAATTCACAGCTGTAGGTACAGCAGAAAGCAGCATTCAAACCAAGGATAATTGTGTCCAGGAACACCTATAGAGTGATCTGTAGGTACTTACTCTTCAAAATTACCTTCTATTTTATGATCTCCTGTTACCCACAAGGCCCTCTGTCCTATTGCTGGTAGCAGGCGTACTTGCCACCTTCCTTCTTCATTTTGATCTCGTTACTTAAACCTCCCTGAGATTGTTCAGCACTAGCAAAGACCTAGTCCCATCTGGGGGAGGGAAAGACAGTGAACATCTCACATCTGCTTATGTTAGAGCAATGATGCTACTTTGCCAGTACTCCAGCAGAGGAAGAGTGCAGGACCACTGCACTGTACGTGCTTCACCTCACATGTGACATCTTCTGAACTTGTACTGCGTTAAACCTGCACATTCCTGCACCTTCAATGTTGTTGAAGCATCGACATTAATTTTTCTAGGCCATAAAGGGAGAGTGCAACTTTCTCCTTTTCAGAAAAAGCAGGTTTTCTTACTTCATTTCCATAAAGCCCAATGCATTATGCATTATCTCATTCAAAGGTAAATAGTGGATACACACATGGATGAAAGATTAAATCCTGGAAATTCTAAACAATTGGCAGGAGGCATAACCATGGCAAATTGATTCTGTTCCCCCTCTGCAAAAAAAGAAATGAAAGAGTATTTGTGCATTTTTTAAATTACACGTAAGATTTAAAGACATTTGGACATTGATTTCTTTTTTTTTAATTTTTTTTTAATCAAAGTACATAGTGATTATTGCAAAGTTCCTTGAGTTCAAAAGATTATTCTAAAACAAAACCTCTGGCAACCTTGCGTTGCTCAGCTACAGCATTACAGCTCTAAGTACCTGAATAACAATGCCTGCATCTACCACAGCAATGATGTGTAGAGGCAAATGGAGGCACACAGCTCCATACAGAAAAGAAGGAAAGCCCTTAAAGAAAATTGCACTGCCCCAAAGAGAAAAGGTTAATTTAAATATGTAGGTGGTCTTGCTTGATTGGTTGGGTTTATGTCAACTCTGACCCTACAGTAACCCCAGTCTTGCTGATCAAAGGGATTGTACTACAGGCTCCAGGGCTGGGTGTGTAGACTATAAGACTTTGCCATATCTCTGTGTATCGCCTCTCATAGAGCCATAGTTTGCTATCCAAGGGCATGAGTGAGAGGTCTTGCTGTCCTTACTGACCTTCATTTGGACTCAAAGCAGTTTAAGGTGCTGGTGTACAGTCTGATCACACAAGTGTGGGTTGGGGTTTTTTTCTGTCCTGTGTTCCCAGCCTGGCAGCAAGAAAAGTAGTTAGTGACAGCAGTGCCTACAGACAAGCTAAGGTGCTCTGAGCACACCGAGTATCATTACTGCTGTGCCTGCACAGATTTGATGCCAAGTTGATCAAGCACGAAGTTTCAGCAAATCTCTGCTTCTGCTGTACCCGAAACAGGTAGTGCACCCAGTGTACAGCACTAAGAGCAGGCATAATAAAGAAAGCCTCGCTACCACTGCCTGCCTTGTCCAGGACGATAG